CTACTGTTTATATTTTATCAACTAATTTCAGTAGATAAAGTAGTCTTTTATCGTCTACTAAAGTAAAGTAATTTTTATCTACTGTCTATATTCAAGAAATTTTGGTAGGTGAGTACAAAATAAAACGAAACATTATAATAAATAACTAAAATTGTTACAAAGTTCGTATATTTAAAAATATGTGTAAATCACTTGAGCTAGTACAATATAATGACTTAAAAACAAAGATGGCAAGCTTCTTAACTTGGTTCTTTCCAATTTGTCTCAAAACTAATTATTGTCCCATAAAACTAATGTATTTGTTAAAGAAGACTTGTCTCACCCGGCCAATGAGTATTAACATAATTTTGAAGAAAAATCCATATTTCCCAATAATAATTAAAAAAGTTTAATTTCAGAAACACAACTCTTTACAATGACCTTCTTTCTATTAATTGGACTCCATTGAAAACTTGCACTGACGTGGATGGGGCTGTTGACATCCTGTATAACAAACTTTATAATGTTTTTGAGTCATCGGTACCTAATGGTTGTCTTTGAAATGCTTCTATCCTCCTTGGTTTAACAGTGTAATAATAAAAAATCCTAAAACAACAGATTGACACAGCTTATAAAACGTTTGTCCATACCTCAGAACAAAATATGATCCATGACCCTGAGGATATTTTCAAGTATGTTCATATGAGATAGTGTCCCAGGTAAACTGTGTGGTGATGGAGAAATCTATGAGTCAGGTCAAGATATTGTCAATGGATTTGCTACAGTCTTCTTTCGATTATGTTCTTCGTCCGCAAACTTCAGTTTAGTAGATCAACATTCTTATCTTCCAACACTTCACATTTAATCAGTTAGTCACAATAAACTCCTGCAAATTATGGCTAAAATGCCTGCAAAGCTTATCGCTGGCAATGACCTAATACCTGCACTTGTCATTCGAGATGCCAAATTTATCCTTCTTGATTCTTTAACACATATATTCAATCTTATTATCTTATTATTATTATTATCTTATTCTAAAAACCTCAAAATTTCCATCCGCTTGGAAAAGGGCTCAGGTTACACCGGTTTTCAAAACAGGTGACAAAATCTCGATTAAAAATTATCGTTCCATATCAAAATTAAATAACCTTGCTAAAATAGTTGAGCAGATCCTTTTTAAACGCATCTATAAGCATACCCACCCTTTTATCTCGCAATATCAGCACGAATTTGTATCAGGAAGATTAACCACTACAAATTTAATTACCCTCACGCAATACATTCAAAACAATTAGAAGCAGCGAAACAGGTCGATGTTATATACACAGGTGGGTTAAAGTCGGAGACGGAGTGGTTTATCATAGCCTGCCAAGACGGTGTTTTTAACACGCTCGTCTACCGCAGCCGCGTGATGGGTATGGACATTCCGAACATCCGGTGCAGGGCATGTCGCACTGCACCAGAAACATGCTGTCGACTTGTCCGAAGTATACAGTGTCGTCCTATATCCATCGCCACAATGCGGCCTTACAAGTAATCTATTACCACCTTAGACACTCGTATGGGGTTGATGAAACACCTGTGTTTCCCTACGCTCCAGGAGATATTGAGTCGGTAGTGGAGAATGAGAAGTGCTGAATTTATTGGAACTTTTCGTTCTCCACTACAAGACTCAATCAGGCTAACAAGCCTGACATTGTCCTCCTTGATCTTCTATCTAAGGAGATGTTTGTGATTGAATTCTCAGTTTCGGCTGAGCTAACCATCTTCATGAAGGAGATGGCTATTCTTTCAAACTGGTCGTCTTGGTCATCGGATCTTTAGGGGGTGCAAGACCAACGCTGCTCTCGTCCTTGCAGACCATTCCTACATGCTGCAACGCGGTTGAACGACTTGCCGGTCAAATTCAGAAGGCGGTAATTCTCGGCTCGCTCGTTGCGTCTACTCAGGGTACACGATTTGTGGACCTACGATTTGCTCACCATGCGATCGTATGGAGCAGGTTCTAGGACTAGAACTATCCTTCAGTTGTTCGAAGCTGGAGGCTCTGGTTCCAGTCGCTTTGCAAAAAAAAAATTATAATCATTTTTGTAATGATAATAATAAATAATATAATAAATAATATAATAAATATAATAATAAATAATAATTTATAATAATTAAAAACTTCCAAACTAACATTTTCTCTTGATATCACAATTTCACCGTTAAATCTAGCAACATGTTTTAGATACTATGGAGAAGTGCCTTTTATGTGACAAATACGACAAAAAGTTATTATTAAGAAAAGTTGTTTAGAATTAAAATTTAGACCCCTATGCTAAATTTTAAAATCATCGCCCAACTATGACTTTATTTTTTTCTAAAATAATTTCTTTTTTTTATCAGAAACAGCAAAAATCTATTTAGTCCTAATAATTTAAATGTATTTGTTATTCATAAAACTACTAAAAATAACATTCTTGTGAATTAATAAACAATAAACATAAAAAAAATAAAAAATCATAGTTGGCCGATGATTTTGAAATTTGGTATATGGGTCTAGATGTTGATTCTAAACAACTTTTCTTAATAACTTTTTGTCGTATTTGGCACTCAAAAGGCACTTTACAGAAAAATAGGTTTTTTGAAAATTTCCAAGACCTACTTGGATTTTCAAAACTAAAATTATGTTGGAAATTATTTTTTAACACAGCAGCGCTGAACCCCTAAAAATGAAAATTTAAATCGAAAATTTGTATCCATAGCATAAGTTTGTTTTGGATTAAGATAAGTGATGGTTGCGTTGATCAAGTGAATGTCCATATTGATTGATAGAATATACATATATTATTGTATTTTTATCAAAGATTTATTGTCACTAAATTTTTGGATTTAAAATGCTTCGTTTGCCATAAATAATAATTTGGTTTTTATGAATGTCTTATACAAAATACTCAATTGCTGTTGAACAGTTTTATTATCACTGACGTGTGGTGGTTGTATTTGCATGCCAGAAATGATATTAATTTTAAGTATATCTTCTTCTTCTGTTTCGTTAAAATATTTTCTACTGATTCTTCTGTGAGGGACTGAAATTTATTCTGTATGAGCTAAATAATAGGAGTAGTCAATTATTGTTTCATTTATATCATCTTCATTACCAAATGTAGAAAATGAATTGTCGTTTTCTATTGCACTTACTTCGGTTTAAGTACGGGATAATGCGTCGGCAATTAAATTGTGTTTCCCTTTTTTATAGACAATATTATAGACAATGTTATAACTTTAATCTTTATCTGATTATTCTTTCTTTTAAACTAAAGAGCCATTTTAATGATTTATAATCAGTTACAATTGCAAATTTCGTGCCAAAAAAGTAGGGTCGGAAATATTTTGTGGCCCAAACGATTGCGAGATATTCTTTTTGATAACTAGCTAGTTTCCGATGGATTGAGTGTTCTAGATGCGTAAGAGATTGGTAAATCATTTCCTAATTTTCTTTGACTAAGCACGGCTCCAATAGCGTAATTAGAGGTATCGGTTGTTAAGATGAATGACTTTGAAAAATCGAATTACCTATGAAAGTTGACGATATCGAACGAATTGATTATTCTCTTAACCACACGTGGGCAAATATGAAAATAACGTAAGAGGTTGTGCGATTGGCGGAGAGCACTAGGCGCGTCTGGTATGTTTGCGGTGCAAACGTTGGGATATGCATTTTTTGACATTTATTTAAGTTCTGCAAATTCAAACCATCTAGTATTTAAACATAAATCACCTTAATTAAGTTAGTACTTAATACTAATAGACACCTAATTTATTACGGTCGTTGTTAGATCTTTAACAGAAATATTAAATCGTTTCATTGAAAATGGTGTTTTTTGTTGTCGTGATATTGCGGGGGTCCTAGGAAAAATATGTACATAACTCGCTGGAAAGTGTCTCGTACATAAGATAAGACTCCCCACTTGTGCGTTATTTGTCACTTTCCGTGCTTGTTATGTAATATACTATTACGCAATTCGAATGTTTCTATAAAATCTCGTGTATGTTTGATTCTCATTCCTTTTTTCAATCATTTTGTGGTTTTCAACTGACCGAAATTGACGAAATTATCAACCAAAACTCTTTATAAATTTGAGTTTAGGACATATTCCATGCTATATTTATACATTTTTATTTTATACTCTAGGGACTTTACTTTTACTTGTATTTAATCAAACCAACCACTTACTGGTTATTTTAGATTTTTAACTACTAAAAAATGTCATACGCTCTTATGAAGGCTTCTTCACAATATTTAAAGGTAATAAAGAACAATAGTTTTTATTTTCAATGAAAGTTTTTAGTAGAACTAAAATAGTAAAGAAAATTTAAGTGGAAAAGAGTTTATAAGTGCATCGACGAAAATTCAGTCGCTGCCTTTAATAATAAACATGTGCCATATCGCCTGTTACTTAAATTATTTAATTTATATTTTGTCCATGTTTTCAAAAACTGCGATGCAAGGATTCCACGGGTTGTGTTGTGTATCTTATTTTTGGACACGCGTATAGAAATATTTTTGAAATGTGCTTCATTGTCGATCGTAGCGTTAAAAAAGTCGATATCAAGTCGATAGCTTGGATAGCAAATAAGTTATGTAGCTTGCACGCACCCCTGAGTCACCCTGTATATCGGATATGTGTAGGATTGGATATCTGTCGTCAATAGTTTTTTTATTAATTTTTTGTAGACGATAACGATTCGCCATTTTTGTTTTCCGCTAGTATATGATTGTATTTCTTTTTGGGTACAATCCAAATTGGTGAGCTTCACAGAGTTTGGCAAAGTCTAATAATTCCGTCTTCTAACATTTTTAAAATTTGTTTCTCAACTTCAGTTTTACAATTTACACAAAATTCCAAGTGAAAAACGTTTCCTATGATGGTATTTGTCCGCTTTGTTACAAAAGTATTTTTTGTTACTCTACCGCATCATACCGCACAGAGTTCACGAGAACCACTAAATGAAATGTGTCGTCATAGAGAAATTAAACTTGTTTTCGCTAGAACACCCGGTTTACTGTACTACACTTACTTCAGTGTAATAACTGTGTCGAAAACACCATATTCGAATTTATAGATCGGCTATAAAATAAGATTGTAATGCATCACTGGAAAAATGACCCTGCTAGATTTCATTATCAAAACAGCAAAAGTCCGAACTGTAGAATCCTGGCAATCAGACGAGGTTATAACTCTCAGATTGAACCATCAAGCACACAGTGGTAATATTTCTAGCTTGCCCTGTCACTAGGTTATTACTACAGGAATTGGAAATCAATCAAGATCTTGATACACAGGCTCTATCTATACTAAGATGGCTTCAATTTCCAGCTAATACAAAGCTTTTAAACATTTCGAAATTATCAGTAATGTTTGTTCTGTTTCGGCTTACAAAAGGATATAATGTATGATTATGGATATCGGATTTTTTTTATTATACTCATACTCATACTACGTAATTTGTAACAGTTGCAGGAGTGTACTGGCACTCCCTTTGAAAATGTTTCAAAGTTTCAAGTATTTTATTTATTTTTTAATAAAATTATGTAACTACATTACATTTATTTCTTTTTTGTATGTTAAACGTTTCATAAACGTTAACTTACTATTTACTTCATGTTTGTTTATCAAACGCTTAACAGTTTGTGGTGAAATAAAATAAAATGAGATTCCGGTTTTCCCCACAAATGGCAATTAAATATTTATTCAAAAGTCCAGTGTGATTCAGATTTCCAAAGTCCGTCTCTGAACTGACCAGACAAATTAAATTGCCTTGTTTGTGTACTCTGCGTTGCGGTGTCCTCTGCAATATCCACGCGCCTTGTTTCTTTGTCCAATCGATTGTGTGACATCTTGTCTTTATGGACCAAATACGTACACTTGGCCTGAATTTCTTGCCATATTGCAGATGTTCCTCCAGCCTCCGAACTCACTTTCCACATGTTTCTTTTGTTCTAGTCCACTTACGTCTTGATTGGAATGTCATGATTCCGAATTTTGTTTCAGTATGCGTTGCTTTCACCTCTACGATTTCTATTGGGTATTGGGAAAACTCTAATATTATGTTTGAGGTTTCTTGAAAACAGTGAAGATGTGAAAATAGCATAAGATTATTTTCTAAAGAGAGTAATGAAGGGATTATTCTGTAGTTGCACCCCGGCAATAAGAGGTACACCAAGGAGGGAGGCAGGGGTCTTATTAGACCAAAGCCTTTATAAAATTAATAATCTTGTTTTGTCAAAATTGCAATTTATGTAAAAAAAATTTTTTGAAAAAATTAAATATAAAGTAGATTGTTCTAATCCTTAAATCATAACCTTCATGAAAAAAATTGTTTTATAGTGTGTTGCCATTTAAAAAAAATTAATTTTTTGTAGAACTCAAAAACAAAAGAAAATTTGGAAAAATTAGATTTTTGATAAAACATATTTTTCTAGTACTTTATTATTCATCAATTAGTTTTTCCAAAAAATAAATAGTTTAAGCAAAGAACGATTAGTTCCTTACTTTTTATACACCTGGTGTGTATGCTTCACATTCAGGCTGTCTCAACGGTCCGAAAAAGCTCTATAACTTGTTTATTTTAAGAGATATTGATTTTTTCTTTTTTTAGATTATAGCTGCGTTTTTGGTGCACATTTTAAAAATTTTG